TGATCTGAATTATAATATTTCTGACTGTCAAAATTTCCCAGATTCAAATCGAATCGAATCGATTAATCGAATTAAATCGAATCGTGGATCGAATCGATTCGGGACCTTGTGAATCGGAATTGAATCGATTCTAGAAATCAGTGACGATACCCAGCCCTACTGATGATCACAAATGTTGCAAGGGGACCAAGAGCATTCATTATCTTAGGTACGTGTCTATCAGGCGCTCATACAAGGACTTCGGTCTTTCGTTCATTAATTTGGAGAAAGTCATCAGTCATCAACCTTTAATGGATTCTAAGCACTCATTCAGATTCTGCAGGTTAGAAACATCTTGGGGTTTAAATATATGACTGGATGTCATCTGCATAGCAGTGATAGCAAATGTCCTCAAAGGTGCTCAAAATATGCCAAAGAGGAATCAGATGTCTTAGAAAAAATAAGGGCCCCAATACTGAACCTTGTGGTACACCATAGGTAAGAGAAGTGGAAGATGAGTGTACTTAGAAAGTGCCACAGAAAAGCATCGTTATATGAGGAGTTATACGGAGAACCACTGCAAGGCAGATCTAGATACACCGACCCAGTATTTCAGTCTTTAAAGCAGAATGTGGTGGTCAACCATACCAAAGGCCGATGTGAGGTCCAACAGTTTGTTGGACAAGAACAAGAACATTGAACAACAAACTGCATTCAGTTTGGGCCAAATTTGACTTCAAACCAATGAAAGAGCGCACGTCAGTGCTCACAGGTCAGCTGATTGACGATGGAGGTGTCTGCATAAAAAGTAAATATGCTTAAACATGATGCACCACACTTCATTCACATTTCACCTCATCCTAGTGAGACGTGACTGTTTTCATTATTTTGAGTCTGTTCCATTTGTTGTAAAAAAGCTGCACCAAAGTCCATCAGATGTGACCAGATGTGACAAACTGTCTGACCTGTTCAAACACTTCATTCCTTTATCCGTGTGGAACCAATGGAGGGCAAATATCTGCCGTACAAACAGTAACAGGACACTTTCAGCTAAAACTCCAACTAACTAGTTTCCTATTAGTCAAACAAAGAAGACTTTCAACTTTTAACCAAACTCCATTCAGTTTCTGTCAGAATTGAGTGTCTGCTGGAGTGAAGCTGAAGGCATAAAATCAGGTCACGCTGTGCTTGCAGTAACAGGAAACGTTAAAGCTGCAGCGTGCGATGGCGATTTGTAGGTGAGAGATTTAAATCACTTAGTCAGCTTCTGTTGTCGCGTTAAAGTGAACGTTTGTCATCTTAATAACCTGCTAAGCTTCTGTTTTCTTTACTGATCCTACTCTGCTCATGTAAGATCTCAGTTTAACATTTGGCTTGATTCGGGTAGTCAGGTGTGTCGTTGACATGGCAACGAGCTTGTTAACAGAAGAACTAACCGACTGCCTGGGAGAGAAAAGTGAAGATCAAAAGAAACAAAAGACGCCGACAGGAGTCGGAGGAGATGGAGGCTGAGATTAGAGGCAGGCGCAGTGCGGTAAAAAGGCTCTGTTCCAACAGGCCTCTGGGAAATACCTGCCATAACTCCACCTGCAGGTCTGTACCTGCAGCAGCACACGCCCTCTCCCAGCACCAGGTGTTGTGTTACAGTGACCTGCACTCCATGAGAACTGTGCTGGATTCATTTGTCTTCATCTGTTTGTCTTCGTCCTGACATCAGTTTTTATTCTGACAGAAAATATAAAAAATACAAAACAGACACACACAGACAGGAGCTGTATCTGTCATTTTCAGCTCGTCCGGCTAAAGCACAGAGGATCTCCCAGCATCATCCACCCTGCTGTCCCTGTTTGTGCCACAGAGAAACAAAGAGAAGGAAAGTTCTCCTCACACATTTCAGCAACCTGTGAGCTGCTCCAGGTTTTGTGAAGTTGAGCTTAAACCTCACTCGATGCTGTTTAACTTGTCAGGCATCCGTGCTTCCAGGGTTATGAAAGATAATTTATCAAAACAAATATTTTACCTAAAGCATTTGTTTACCCTGAGCACTGAAATGTAGTCATAACTCACTCACACAGGGGTAAACATGCATGCCATATGGGTAACAGTAAGTGGACACCACAGTCCAAATACTCACATTTGGTCACTGCGACTGGTTGCAATGGTTCTACTTTAAAATCTTTTATTTTAAAGGTGAAAATTTGTAAAAATCTGTGTAATCCTGCTGCTCATGAGGGGATGTAAAGGTTTTTATTCATGGTTTTGTGTGTTGCTGTGACAGGATTAAGACGAGGCCTTGTGCTGCTGCCGTACCTGCAGGCTGCTGACAGGACCGACCAGTTTCCTTCAGTTTCCCCAGTTTACTGGGGAACTGTTCCCGTCACTACACACCCACCTGTCATCACTGCCGAGCTGCTGCGACACGTACGTTCGACGCCCATCAAACCTCCACAGCTGCAATTAAGTTGTGCTCAGAGGAGGGAGGGGTTGAAATCTCTGATGGAGATCTGTCAAACAAACCTGCAGCTCTGGCAGCAAAAACATTCCACATGCTTCTGTTGGCGAACGTCTCAATGTACTCTGTGTGTTAACAAGAAAAACGCAGATAAGAAAGTGGTGCAAAAGCAGGGTAGTGACAGAATCGATGCGCATTATTGATATTTGAAGCATGTGTACCTGCACATGCATGTTTATTAACACACGGGTACTGTGGAATATATTTTTAAAGCGCTCGTGCTCTCATCCACTCCCCGCAAAAAAATTAGCAGCTGTGCGGCGTCTGTGGCGTCGGTGCTCTCATCACATGCGATGGAGTAAAAATCAAAAGCACAGCTTTATCAGACAGTTGCAGTTTAATGTTGGCTGACGAGTCTTCAATGCGGCGCACGACTGGATTTCTGGACACGCTGACGTTGTTGAAGTCCTGCACTTTTTCGGACACGAGGCCGTGTTTGATGAGGTGTCCATCTGAAAAAGGCTCGCCATGTCTCGCGATGAGTTGGGCGACCTCATAGCTCGCTATCGGAGCCTTTTCCTGCAGGAGAGCTACCCTTTGCTTTAATTTCTGCTCTCGCTCAGCACCAGTGTAGGATGCATAGGCCTGATGTTTGGTTTCATAATGACGTTGTACATTATACTCTTTCATAACTGCCACAGTTTCGGTGCAGATCAAACAGACACACTTCCCCTTTAATCTTTGAAGAAATCTTCACTCTCCCACCGTGTCTGAAATTTTCTGCACTCACTTTCTACCTTTGGCTTCTTTGGTTCTGCCATGTTTAGTAACTTGGGGTAAATTTCTTCTGTGATTGTCCTTTTTGGTGAAGCAACTGCCTTGATCAACAGCAGCTCCCCCTGGTGTTAAAACTAAGAAGTGCAATACACTCAAGCAAAAGTTGAAGTGCGGCCTTATTCTATTCTATTTATAAAATTACTTGCGGGCCAATTAAAAATGGATTTGGATAAGCACAAAGAATACAAGGAATTCAATGACCTTGATAAGTGGTTCTGGGGCAGCTAGAGAGTTGAAGGGTTAGGAATAAAATGATTAAGTAAATCTGTTTTTGTGAGGTTTTTTTTTTTTTGACCAAGTCTTCCAAGTCCTCCCATGCCACACCTCTGCTGATCCAGCTGCACTGGCTCCACATATAATTCAAAGTGCAGTTTAAGATTATGATTTTGACATTTAGGGCTCTGCATGGACAAGCGCCAACATACATCAGTGATCTTTTACATCCTTCCATCCCCAGCAGGTCCCTCAGGTCATGTGCCGCTGTGATAGAATACAGCATTAATGAATCAATGTTACAGAAGTGGAGGAAGCACGAAGAATGAGTAAAGTTTGACTTATCTGACTGCTTTGTTTCGCTTAATGCGCCTTATAATCCGGTGCGCCTTATCGTCCAAAAAATATGGTAATTACAAGCGCTTCATAAGTTTCAAAGGATTTTATTGACAATTACATCACAGTCAGTATTAGTAGTGTTGGCCCTTCTTTTTCAAGGCCCCTGCAATTGGCCCTGGCATGCTGTCAATCAACTTCTGGGCCAAATTGACTGATGGTAACCCATTCTTTCATAATCGATGCTTGGAGTTTGTCAGAATTAGTGGGGGGGTTTGTCCACCTGCCTTTTGAGGGTTGACCACAAGTTCTTATTTGGATTAAGGCCTGGGGAGTTTCCTGGTCATAGACCCAAAATTTCAATGTTTTCTTTCCTGAGTCACTTCATTATTATGTTGGCCTTATGGCACGGTGCTCCATCATCCTGGAAAAGGCGTTGTTCTTTACCAAACTGTTCTTGGATCATTGGAAGAAGTTGGATGAATTTTTGGTACCATTTTTCATTCACATCTGTGATTTTTGCCAAAATTGTGAGTGAGCCCATTCCCTTGGATGAGAAGCAGCCCCACAGATGAATGGTCTCAGGACTCTTTACTGTTGGCATGAGACAGGACTGATGGTAGCGCTCGCCTCTTTTTCTCCGGACAATGCTTTTTCCAGATGCTTCAAACAACTGGAAAGGGCTTCATCAGAGAAGATGACTTTACCTTTAAAATCAGTCTGTTTGGAGGGGGGGGGTCAACCCGTTCTCACTCCCAAAGAGTAACATTTTACGCTAGGTGACAAATCGTCACCATATTACGCTTTCGGCTACCCACCACGTTCCTAAATGACGACCTCGGAAAAAGAGGAAATATGAGAACCGTCTGGACTGAATCTACACATGTTCGCTCTTTTTCTTCAAATCGCTTAGAAACACGCTATTTAACATCATTAAAGTCCTGGTTAAGGTCAGGAATAAGGTTATGGTCAGGGCTAGGGATAAGGTTAGGTTTAGGTCTGGAATACAGGGCTGGAACGTCTACTATCGCGGGAGCGTCATTGCACTGGATTCCAGCCATAACCCGCCGCGTACCATAAGAACGCCGAAGGTCTCCTTTCGCGTTCCTCAGGAACGCCGCGGGACGTGACAAAACGTCGACATGTTACGCCTCGGGAGTGAGAACGCTCTGGGGGGGTTAGAGAGAAGTGGCTTCATTGCTGACTTTCTTGACACCAGGCCATCTTCCAAAAGTCTTTGCTGCCATTCCTGTGCAAACCGCAGGAGTGGCGATCCCACAGCTGAATCATCTTTCATCTTCTTCATCAACATTCTCACCTGAGTTAATGAGAAGATTATTGAAATGATGCCAGCAGCTCCTTTTGCAATTCATCTGATCACTCTTCATTACGTTCTCGAGTATATGCAATATGCTATTCTAAAAACTGAAGCAGCAAACTTTGTGAAAACCAATATTTGTGTCTTTCTCAAAACCTTTGGCCACAACTCTATCCTCAGCTCTAATCCTTTTCAAGTTGCTGTAGTAAACTGATAACTTTCTTTCTGTTCTTGCTTGTGGGGTCTTGTGTTCAGGCTTCATAGGTATTGTTGTCTCTGAGGAGTGTAGTAAATTTGTGTGATAATCCGTTGTGTTTAGACGGCTGGTAATATGGTGATGTTTCGATCTTTGCTCAGGGATGTGACAGCCTGTGGTTTTGGGGTGTATTGATACCTATCAGACAGCTAGCAGATCCACCTGTCAGTCTCAGTCATCCCCCAATGATGCAAACTGTGAGCTTGAATATAATTTAAGCAGGAGACCTATAATTCAGTCCCGTCTTGTTTGTAGAACTTCAGCTTTGGGAAAGTATAAAAATAATTATAGTCACAGGTGTGCAGTGAGCTCCATATTTACCTGTGTCAGCAGGTCATCTTCACCGCGTCCAGCTGAAATTTGCTTTAATGAGCAGCTGAACATGAACCTAACAATGTATGAATACACTGAAAATACTCAAAAACTAGAGCTGATAAAATGATGCCTGATTTTTACAAACATACTTATCATTTCAATATGATTCACGGAGAAAGACTCCTGATGCACCACTGAGTAAGAAGATGAGGAGAGAGTATGGAGGAAGGTCACTTTGTCTCTGCTGCCCTCTGGTGGTTAGACTGAATGTGCAGCAGTCATAGGTGGAGGCCGTGTATTCATTGACCTCAGATTTCAGAGGTTTTCCCTGCGTTCAGGCTGCTGATGAAGGAAAGCCCACTGTGCTCTTCCTGCGTGTTTCACTAAGAGCTACAGAACTAAACTACTTTACAAAGCCAGCAGCAGTGAGTCTGTTTGAGTCTGTTTCACAACCTGAGTTAAAACGTTCTCATCAGACACTTTGGGTGGTTCATGACTTTATCGCTTTCATGTTCTTAAAGAGGAAACGGGGCACAGATTAATATTCAGCTTTATTTTCCAGGTCAAAGTGTACAAACTAGATTTCTCTGGTTAACACAGAAGGATGCTGATAAAGATGGAAAACAGAACCTGAACAAGCTGTTATTGGACTCGACATTTAAAAACAATCCCCAGCGAGGATAAGACTGCAACGTTAATCTGCTCCTGGTGCTTACTGTCGTATGTTGCTCAACATGAACTTTTAGGAGAAGCTGATGAAGCACCTTTGCCTCCTGATGTCACTGCAACACCTGAAGAATCTGCTTTGTTTCACCGCATAAAGAAGACAAACGTTAAAAGGTGGTTTTCTTGTACGATGTCATACAAATCTAAGTTATTATTAACTAAGGAAATGACACCAGCTGATGAGACTCTTAACCATTTAAAGCCCAAACCTGTGGTTTGTCCTCTAAATGTGAAACATATGTCTTCTTTTTAACATGTATTTGTTAACAGTGTTGGGAAGGTTACTGTTAAAATGTATCCCACTACAGATTACAGATTACATGCCCCAAAATGTATTTTGTAACGTATTCTGAATACTTTGGATTACTTAATATATTATCATGCTTTTTACAACTACATGAATGTCCTATTGCTGTGTGATCTATTACTATTACTGAAGGTTACTCTCCACACCAACACCAGGATGCAAGTACAGGTGACCTGGGCCGTGAGACTGAGACATCAGAGCCTCTTAATGTGTGTTTGTTTGGGTTTCCACCGGCGTGGAATTACCAAAAATAGAGCAGAGCCGAACATATGAAACAGGAAAAGACCGCCGTGTAATCCACTTATTTCAACAAAGTAACTGTATTCTGATTACCACCTTTTTCAACTGTAACTGTAACTGAATACAGTTACTCATGTTTTGTATTTTAAATACGTGACTGCGGTACATGTCCTCCATGTACTGTTGCGTAACAGCATCATGTTCTACACGTCATTCTTCCAGCATCATCATATTTTAACTCTCTGAGATTTGGAAACAAAACACTGATTTCGTCTTTGGACTGTGACACTTTCAGTGTGAATGAAACAGCTTCAGAGCTTAAAAGTGTTTGTCAGCCAAAAGATTTGGCGAGGATGTCTGCTGCCTATGTACCTGTCAGGCTGAAAATATTCAACACATAGAGATAAAAACTGCTGTGTGGTCATGGCTCCATTAAATTCAGTATCTATGGGCACTGGTTCAGCTCAGTGGGATGATCAGACAGCCATATGCTGCACGGTTGAGTGCGGCCGGCCCGGGTTTGAATCCGACCTGCGGCCCTTTGCTGCATGTCCTTCCTGTCAGTCTTTAATGTCCTTATGAGAAAAAAATCACTATTTAATGTAGAAAAAGAATCAGAAAATATCACCCTACTCAGACTTGCATGATGTCATCAATGCCCTCAGGGTCAGAGGTCATGACCGTGACACCTGTGGTCAGCGAGCGCTGGATGAGAGGCGAGGGAGCTGCAAGGCAAGAGAGGCCATTCTTACTGCTGTTAAACAGAGTGACGCTTCATCACAGCGCGTACGTTTGAAAACATCTGAACGTATAAATAAACGGTCTGTATGTAAACAAAACAAAGGAACAAACAGCTTTGCCTCTTCATACGACACAGGTTAGATGCTCCGTGTTTTCTCCCTGCTGTACCTATCAACTGTTCTTTAGTTTCACAGAAATTAATGCAGACGTCAGAAGCGTCGATCCAGGCATTTAGACTCAAAAGCACAGATTTCCATGAGCTCAGGCTTTGTGTGTTTTAAGCCTGTTGGGAATAACATTTACTCCGAGTTCGAGCACCTGGATTTCTTTTTTCAGCATGTTTGAAAACAGCCTCAGTAATCCGAGAAAGTTAACGTGTGCATGCGTCAGTTCAATTCAGCTTTATTTATAAGCCACCGAATCACAACAGCAGTCACCTGACGCTGCTTCATACTGAAAAGTAAAGACCCCACAACGATGTTCTTATTTCAGATCAGGTCATTGCTCGTGTCGCCTGCATTACTTTCTCTTCATGCTGGACATGAACTCCTCAGATGTGTTTGTATTGTTGTCTTTGCGACTTTGATCTCACCTGCAGCCTTTTGTTGTTGTTCTTGTTGTTGTTGTCATGGTTGCTGTTGTTGTTCTTGTTGTTGTCGTGGTTGTCGGGCTCTCTGAGCTTGTCGTTGTCTCTCCTGACTTCTCTCCCTCCCTGCAGCTGAGATCATTAGTGCCGCCATCTTGCAGACGCTGATCTTCTCCTTGCTGCTTCCGGCTTGGCTTCCCGTGCTCCTGATTGGCCGATCGCTGCTGCTGATGACCCTGCCCCCGGTGTTATTGGTCCTCCCTGAACTGCTGATCCTCCCTCCAGCATGACTGCTGAGTCTATCACTGCTACCAGCGACTTTGGATCCGCTTCCTGCGCCGGTTATCCGGTTCCCAGCAGCCTTTGAACTGCTTAGCCACCCCCCACTGCCCCCGATCCTCCTCCCAGGGCTCGGAGCTCTTTGCCTGTTGGTTGTCCTCTCTCCCCCGCCCCACCCTGCACTCCCCACGCTGTGCCCACTCGCTGAGCTGTAAACAGGTTTCCATCCGCCGCTGCCCGTGCCGGTGAATCTCCCCACGCTGCTGCTGCGCCTCACGACACTGGCCGAGCTCAGCCTGCCACCACTTCCAGCACTGTTGAGTCTACGCCCACTGCTGACGTAGCTGCTGGGAGGACTGACCATCTGGCTGCTGCTGACCCTGTCAGCACTATCAGCTCTGCTCACACGACCAGGACTCCCACAATACACTGTCCACGCCCCACTGCTGAACCTCCCTGCTCCTGGTGTTCCTGGTGGGCTTGTTGCTATGTGCGTGGCTGCTGAGCGACAGTCTTTGCTATCGCTGCTCATGCATCCAGCATGCCAACCGTAAACCTTCAACTCCCCACAGCTAAATATCCCAGCTCCTGGTGGGGTTGTGGCCGAGTTTGTGGCAGGTGAAAGGCGTTCTTTGCTCTCAGCACTCAGCGAGCTATCGCTGCCAGCCCAGCTGTTCTTACGTCCAAGACTGCCTTCGTAAAATATCCACTCTGCACTCCCTCTCCTCCCAAATCTCCCTGCTTCTGGTGGACTTGTCGCAAGATTTCCGTTCATGGATGAGTTTTCTCCACCCCTTTCATTGGGTAAGCTAGTCCCAGCGTCTAAGCTGTTCTGGCGTATAAGACTGTCACCATAAACCATCCACCCCCTACTTCCAAATCTCCCGTCTTCTGGAAGATGTTCCTTTCTCCCTGAGTTAGGTAAGCTGACACTCATATGTCCCAAGCAGCCACCATAAGCCATCAAGTCTCCACTGAATCTTCCCTTTACCGCTGCTGTACCCACTTGTGCATCTCCACTGTTGCTAAAACCTCCTGGCTTGCTAAAGGCCATTCCTCTGTTGGAAAGGGTATTTCCAAAGCTTGCTTCTTCGGCATTACCTGTTTGGTTCTTCGCTTGCCAGTCACTGTTTCTCTGCCCCCTCATACCTCTATTCATAGTCACACCTCCTATCTTATCTTCATCTGCAGGACCACTTACATCTTTGCCTCTGGACCTTCTTGCATCTCTTCTGCGATAAAGGCCTCCAAAACCAAGCTGTTCCTCTCTGTCTGCTATGATACTTCGTCCATCTCCAAACACCGAGCCTCCATGACTGCTGCTCACCTGAAGGCTGCTTCTCTGACTGGTTGGTCTAGAACTTATCTTTGTGCCATTCAGCTTAATTCCCCTTCCTTCATAACCTTTAAATGGCCTAAAAAGCACACCCCGGTTTCCCTCTGACGTTATGACTTTCGTATCTCTGTCTTCTGGCAATGACCCATCTCCACTAAACGATACCGACTGTCCGTCCTCTTTTGTTGACAGAATGAATTTCTCTCCTGGGTGAACACGTGCATTTGCCTCAGTTAGATTCAGACTTCCTGCCTCTTCTTTTACATCACTATCTGGACTGAGACATACGTCTGAGTCATTTGGGCTGAGGTAATTTTCTGGGTCATTTGGACTCGGAAGTAGATCAGGACTTGCAATGTGGTCTTCCACATCTACTGGGCAAAACACCTGATCTGTAAGGTTTAGCATGACCTCGGTCTCATCTGGACTCACACATATTTTTGGGCTCAAGCAGCTGGGTGAATTTGTTTCACCAACTGACAAATGGACTTCTTTTGGACTTTGTAGCTCTTCGTAAGAGGAACAGCTCAAACCGACACCAGAATCTGTTAAACTTGACGCCTCTTCACCTGAAAGATCACCTGTCTCCTTCTTAGACTCGACTGGATCCAGCTTTACCTCGCTGGCATTGTTGACTGTTTTCATTTCATCCACTTCTGCCTTTAAACTATCTGTATGTTGGATATAACACTTTTGGTTTTCCTTGCTTTCTGGAGAAGAAATGCCGACACTGGTCCATGAATCTGCATCCTTCACAAGTTTGTTGTTGGACATATTTATTAAACTTTTATCTAAACTCAGGACAATCAAAGTATCTTCTGCTTCTTCCTTTCTGTCTACAAGCCCATCATCCACCTCAGTCATATCCTCAGTTGGGTTTAAACATATGTGTGGATCGTTTGGTGTGAGATCCGGTTCTGGCTCAGTGGAACTCTTCACTGAACACTTTTCTGGATTCAAGCATGCATCTGGCTTTGTTGGACTCATTGATTCCTCTTCTCTTGGACTCTGATGCTCTTCAGGGCTGGAGGAACTTAAAGCCACACCAGAATCAGTTAGGCTTAAAGACATTTCTGAGTTTGTAGTACTGAAATATATCTCCTGACTTTGCAGATTTATCAGCTCATTTTCTGATTTAAGATGGTTCATCTTCACTTCCTTGCAGTCGTGGAGTTCTTCTACTTTGTCTACTTCTTCCTTTACGTTCTCAGCACTTGTAGTTTTACTGTGAAGCTTGTTATTAATTTCTGAGATACTAGACAAAAAATGTTCATTGTCATGCACTGCAGGTTTGTCTTCTATGAGTTTCTTCAGTTCAGTTTTGGACAATCCCAAACTCTGATCAAGGATTAGAACATCTTCTGTGTCTACTGTTTCAGACCTTCCATTTGTTCCTGTATCGGTTTCTTTCATAAGGGCTACCTGAGCCTTACTTGATCTAAACACTGGAGGAGATCCTGGCTTGTGCACTGTACTGACATTTTCATCCATGTCCCTGACAGCTTCTGGTGGAGTCTCAGCCTCCCTGATGATGATCTTTGTTGGATCTTTTTCCTTTGTTTGGAAGGAGGCTTCAATTGGATCCATCTGAGTAAAGATGAAAGCTTCTCTCACTTTTACCTCAACAGCAACTGGTTTGCAGAGATGAAACGAGGTCTCATACATTACAAAATGTGTTTTTTGAATTACGTCTGGTCCTGCAGAAGGAGTGTTTTTGTTAGTTTCCATGTCTGTCCCTGTGTCAGTAGAGAGTGAACCAGCTTGTTTGGAAGTAAAGGTCTTGACCAAAGCTCGCACGTCTCGGCTAGTTTGAGCCCCAACATCACGATCTTTAGTAAGAACTTCCACAGGGCTCCTCTGTCTGTTGCCTGTCTCTGTAGATATGATGGACTTGCACACTTTTTTATAAAGCACTACTGTTCTCTGGTTTTCAGAGTTTTGGATGGTCTCCATCAGAGGCTTGGTCAGTGTTCTAGGTGAGTTATTTGGATGTTTGTTGTGGACAAAATCTGACTGGGCTGCAGTCGCTGTTTTCGGTGAAACTATTGGTGTTTGTTCAAGAGTGTGAACGCGGCCGCCATGAACACCGACGGTTCTGTTCACCGTCTTGTTGCTCCTGAATGTGGGTTTTCTGGTCTCAAGACAGGAAGATCTGACATCTGGCTTGGAGTTAAAGTCGACATGTGAAACTCTAAAAAGATAAAACAAGACAAAGGCAAGAGCAAAAAACTAAATTTTAATAACTGAAAGGGGACGTATTTATCTATTCCTCTATCATCATCTCATACCCCTGACGGTCCGCGCTGTCCAGCAGCTGCTTGTAGTCCTGTATCTCGGACCCCAGTTGGTTCTTGACGTCCAGCAGTGACTGCTGGTCTGCAGCCTGCTGTGCTGCAGCCTGGAGCACCGAGTCCAGGTCTCTGCACAAACCATCTGCTGACTCCTGTAGGACCACCAGCTGCTGGAGTAATGACTCCTTCTGCTCCCGACCAGAGGACTCCAACACCAAGACCTGGACAGACAGGAAGACTCATTCTAATCCTGTTTTTTATCTTGACTCTGATGGTTTTGGTTTTGTCTTTTAGTCCTGACTTTGAGAAAACTCTGGAGTTGTTTCTGGTCTGACCAGCTTTTGGCTTCAGCTGTTGATTGGCTCTTTGGGGGGAGGAGTTCATAAAACACGTGTTATTGTGAAGATTATCTTGCTAAACTAAAGCATCAACCCAATCTAGAAGACTGGAAAAAACTAAATGACATGTGGCTGAAGGAACCAGAGGAACTCATAGGTGGGCCTACAGGTTCCTGGTCGGAACATCGGAGTGCTGGTGTGTGGTTTGATCTTACCGCAGCCTGAAGTCGCGTCAGTTCTGCTGTCAGACAGCACACTTCTCTCCTCATTGCTTCTAGCTCGGCTCTGTCAGCGTCTGACCCCAATGAAGGGTCAAAGGTCACCTGTGAAATGCTCTGCATGGACAGCTGAACACAAAACACCTGTTAAAATGCTTTTGCATTATTATCCTTATTAATGTTTCCTTTATGTTAAAATACAGGTGTGCAGGTGTGCGTGTGCCTACCTGAGTCTTGCACCTGGGTTTGCTCTTGTTCTTGTCCAGGTGTCCAACACTCGTCTGTCTCAGGTGGTCCACCTGTTGGATCAGGTCTGAAGACTCAGTGATGTGCATCTCAGCACATCACTGATATCTGGGCCAGGAGAACCTGCATATCCTACACAGGTAGGCAGGAAAAGGGGTGTAGGTTTTTTTAAGCATCCAGGTGAGATTGTTTTACCTGCTGGTGTTGAGTCTGCAGATCCGCTTTCTCTTGCTTTTGCTCATTCAGCAGATTCTGAAGCTCAGGCAGACTGTGAACTTTCAGGACCTCCCCCAGCAGCCCGAGGTCACTAAGCTCCGCCTCCAGCTGAGTACACTGCTCACGCACCTTTTGGCACCTGCACACACAGCAAAGGATCATGGGACATGTCTTCATTTATCTGTTTAGTTGTTCAGCTATATTTGGCCACAGCCATGTTGTTGCGTGTAGGTGTGATCATCCTTGGACGACAGGGTGGAGCGTTAAGTTATCAGAACTACAGATTAAGCTAGCAGACAGCTAGCAGCTAGCAGCTACAGCACGGTGATGAAGCGAAGCTTTGACTGGTTTGAATGATGGAGGAGTCGCGTGATTTTGTAGTTGTCACGTTAAATTACAGAAGTGTGACAGTTACATAAACGTGTTGGGATGAAAACCTGCATTTTAAACTGAGCTCATTCTGCAGACTCTGTGATGGTTTTTATCCCATACAGGCCTCTGCACTCATACACTGACGTGCATTAGAGACCCATGAAGCAGGTATGACTACATCGCTGTTGTGGCTCTACCTTTCTTTGAGGTTGAAGACGGTGAGTTCTGCTTCGAGTAACTGAAGCTTTGCCTGAGCCTGGGCCGAGAGACATTCACTGATCTGTGAGAGACAGAGAGAGAGAGAGAAGCTTTATTCTGTGGTGGGAGGTGGTGCAAACGTCTGGGCGGAGAATCACAAATAAATGGTTGATTTCCTTAATGACTTCTCTGGTTTTTACAGGACATGCCAAAGTTCAGGTTTTTAGTCTGTCACATTTTGGACTCATCCAAACCCGTCTGACCATTAAACACAGGTACAGCATCCTGACACCACCTGAGAAACTTGTTTAACCTTTGATTGTAAGGTTAAAACTGATTAACTGGGGCACGATCTGATATCGTCGTGTTGGTGTTGTTCCCAGATCATCATACTAAATGTTGCTCCAGGATCAACATTGCAAGTGACCAATCAGAATGTTGTGACGTCATACTTTTGCGACTTCGGGAAAAACCGCCGTAAAACAAAAAACTGTACTTAAGCTGCGAGAAACCGCCTCTGTCCGCCGATCAACGGACCCTGACCCTAACCCTTTAATAAACGGTAAGCAGAATTGATATTGTCCTTGCAACATTGGAATTTCATAAATGACACGAATGGCTTGGTGCGCAAAAGAATAACGCACAAGCAATGTGATTGGTCACTTGCAATGTTGAACCTGGAACAACATTTTCATGATGATCTGGGAACAACACCAACACGAGGATATCAGATCATCCTTTACTGGGAGCCCTCTGGCACTGACTCACTTCTGGAGCCTCTAGTGGACATTAGAGGAACTGCAGGCTTTGGTAGTTCCAGTGTTTGGCTTCATTTTCCAGCCTGCAGGTTGATGCCTGGATCAGATTGTTTGGCTTTGACTTGGAACAGAACTGGTAAATGTTTTGATCTCTGGGCTCGACTGAGGACTTCATCATTAAATTATCTCAGAACTGCAGAGACTCTAAAGCTGCGACAAGCTGCAACAAGAATACATTTGACATCAGGTTTGTTTCCAGCTTCGCTGTCTGCACATGTTCTTTCCTTTACTTTATGACTCCTCTGACATATCACATCTGTTAACAGCAGAACACCTCAGAGTCCTTCAGATTTATCTCTGGTTTTAATCACAGGAAATCCAAGTTGATAAGAAAGGAAGGACAGAGCATGTAAGAAAGAAAAAGTGAAGGACGGAAAGAAATGGACAACAAAGATGCTGAACTGTGACAATGCAAGACCATGCCCATCCTTTATTTACAGTCTACCTGGCCCTGCAGCAGGGAGGCGGTCCTCAGGTGTCCGTCCAGCCACCTCAACTCTCGGGGACACTTTCTGTCCAGCTCCTCCTCGATCTGATGCTCCAGCCTCTGATTGGCTGCCTCGAGATGCTTGACCTGCACAAACAAACAAACAAACAAACAAACATTCTCTGTCATTCTGTTGTACGAGTGAATCATGAGTGAATCACCGTGTTCTCTGCGTACATTCAAACAGCTCTGGGAAACATTATTTTTCAGATCTTAGTTTTAAACGTGACATCATGAAACACAATCTTTGGTTCATGATTATTCCATTTAATTTTGATTTATTGTGGTCTTAAAATTTCAAATCAATAATTAATCAGCCGTGAGAGGACCATTTGTCCTCCTGCCACAGAACTTTATAGATCAATCTTTAAGCAGTGCAAACGTCTATAAAGAAATCGGATGTTTTTTTGTCCTCCAAGTCTTTCAGATCCTTTTAACTGTTGCTCATTAATCTCAGTTGGATCAATGAAGCATGCTGCCTCCATCCTACCTGCTGCAGGTATGAAGCCAGCCTCCTGTTCAGCTGCTGCAGGGCGGCTCTCTCTCTGGATAAACAGGAGCTCCCGCCGCTGCCCGGAGCTGCCGTGCTGGGACACACCGACCCGCCGGCTCTGCTGCCACGGAGAACCAGCCAAGAAATCATCTCAATTCAGTTTCATCAGCTTTTTCAAAGCTTCCTTTGACAAACTCTGTCGTGTTCTGGAGTTCTGGGTGTCTGAGGCAGGCGGTCTGTCTCAAGTGTGTCAGGAGCAGATGGAGCTCAGGTTTAATCTGCTCTGAATATCAATATTCAGAAACAGGTCTGAGCAGGATGGCAGCCCTGCCCAGCACGCTGCATCCAGCAGCCGTCGGGTTTACACTTGTTCTGCAGATGGTGTGGCTCACACACTCCTGTAACCTGAGAGCCAAACCTTCATTTACAACCTGGAAAATCAAATCCATCAAAACTCAACAAGATCCTGCAACAGAGAGACTGTTAGAGAGCGTTTACTCAGCCTGGACACATCGCAGCAGCCTGACTCTCCTTACAAACCTTTAAAGGTCAAAAGAAAAGCAGCCTGAAAATGCTAACTGCTAACTGGTTCTCATACTGTGATTTTCTGCTCTGAGCAGTTAAAGCACTTTATACAACATGCCTCTTTCCTGCGTTCAGATTCAGAATCAGAAAGACTTTATTTATCCCCAAGCGGCAATTAAGATACAACAGAGCAGCATGATGTTAAAGATAAGGACAGGGCACAAACAGGCAATAAGAGTGAGATAATAAATACACAGAATATACACAGTTTTAAAATTAAAGTGACTGAAAGGTGAATAAATAACTGTAAGTGAGTAAAGTGTTGGTAGTATAAGAAGAGTGTAGTTTCTGTTTCTGGTGGGGGAAATGTTCTTATCGGCTGGAGTTAAAAAGCAGAGCTGCTTTGGGGACAAAGGTGGCGCTCCTCCTCCTCTCAGTCCTGCAGGAAATGCAGCGGAGGCGTCGCCCAGAGGGGAGC